CTTGAGACAATCGAAGCAGAGCTATGTCATTTTTATATGACTCTCCAACGTTGAATTGTGGATGAATTATCTTTCTCTCGATATCAATTACTTGGGTATTCTGGCTGTTATCCGTGTTTTGTTGGCCCAAACGCACCTTGTTGCAGACATAAGTCGGTTCTCGAAACACAAACGAAAAGCAGTGCGCAGCCGACAAAACAAAGCCTGCAAAGTCATAATGGCATATTAAGGATTATTTTATAGACATGTCGAATTAGACAACTTACGAGAGGTGATAAGCGAACCGCTACAGATCCTATCTTGCTCACAGACCAACTGAACCATCCATGGATTCGAATATACGCCTAAAAGGTTTCCTGAGAGTCCTCGACCCGTTCTCGGCGATTGCCTTCTTGTTCCACAATTCTCGAATAGCAAGGAGGCCGATCCTACGCCAGCCCCAAGCAATAGGTAGGCTAACACCGCAATTCCCGATGTGATGGTCTTCATGTTACTGCAAAGACTCAATGAATAGTCTCCATACATTTACTTTTATATGGGTGGCTGTCACGCCGGAAATAAGTAGCGATAGGAAAATGAAATAAGATTTTAGTTAAGAGTTCAAAAAGTTCAGTTTTTGCTTGATAGCATCTTTTGTGCTTTTTGGAGAGACCTGAAATCCTAATCAGCAAAATACGAATTCAGCTAAGCTTGATTTGCTCTAAAAACTACCAATTTAAATGAAAATGAAAAAATTGGTCCACTGAAGAACATTTTTTGTGTTGCCCGTCTAGATTTATTGCAAATGATTTGTAATAACTAGTTTAAAGTATATTTAATCCTGATCAGGAACACATAATTGGCCATTGCTAACTTTTGTCTAAAATTCTAACTAATTCTAATAAAAAGTAAAATTCATAGTGAATGAAAGAAATTGTACTTTTTAGAATACATCTTTTTTTCGACTTCTTTTATTATACAAAAAAACTGTACAAGTTTCATTTATCACAGTGAAAACTGAAGTTTGTTTTATGAAATAAAATTTAACTAAGCAAAAACAAGGGTGGCACAATAACATTTCGATTAGTTAGAGATGGTTTTTAAAACTAAGTATCAGAAATAAATTAGTTTTTCTTTTTCTTTTTGTCGGCTTGAACCAAGCCCTGTGACTCCTGGTATTGGCGCACGATCTGATCCTGGACATCGGGAAGGCAGGGCGAGTACCTGGAGTACTCCATGGTGAATTCACCCTTGCCCTGGGTGCTCGACCTAAAGGTACAACAATATTATTAGCTATGCATGGCAGATTCCATTGAAGATTGAACTTGCCTCAGCTCTCCGGCATAGCCGAACATGTCGTTCAGGGGAACCTCTGCGTACACAGTGAACCAACCCTCGGTTCCCTCGGTGCCGGTGATAATACCATGCCGTTTGCTCAGGTGGCCCATTACAGCACCCTGGAATTCCTCGGGCGCGGTTACCTCAACCAGCATAATGGGCTCCAGGATCTGCCAATTGCCGTTCTGGAAGACCTCTTTGATGGCACCATGGGCAGCCAACATAAAGGCCAGCTCGCTGGAGTCCACGATGTGATGACCACCATCTTGAAGGCGGAATCGAATGCCGGATAACTTGTGTCCGGAGAGCATTCCCTTCTCAGCCATTTCTCTGTAACCTAAGCAGACAGTGGGTTTTAGTTTTTTTTTTTATGGAAACAAAAAGCCATTTTAACTTACCCTTTTCGACTCCAGGAACAAACTGCTTTGGCACATTTGTGCCCACTGTTTCGTCTACGAATTCCAGCAGGGTATTTTGATTGGGCGGCAGTGGTTCCATGACTCCTATAATCCTGGCATACTGACCCGATCCTCCTGATTGTTTCTTGTGCAGGTAATCGAATTCACAGGGTCCAACCAAGGTTTCCCTAAATGCTACTTTTGGCTTTCCCAGCGTCACTGGGCAGCCGTATTCCCTCTCCATTCGCTGGGCGTAGATCTCCAAGTGCAATTCACCCATTCCCGAAACGAGAGTTTCCTTGACATCGTTGTCGAAAAAGAAGTGGAATGTGGGATCTTCTTTGGTGAATCTGGCGATGGCCTTTGAGAAGTTATCCCTGTCCTTGGTGTTATTTGGCTTTATGGCCATTGAGACAACGGGTTCGGGTACGAATATGGACTCCATGGCCAGATTGTCCTTGGGATTGGTGGTGAAAGTGTCTCCAGAGGCGCAATCAACTCCGAACAATGCGAATATATCACCGGCATAGACCTCGTTGACATCCTCCATTTGATTTGAGTGAAGTCGTACCAAGCGAGCAATTCTCACCTTCTTATTGGTGCGGGCGTTGAAGATGTTGTCACCTTTCCGAAGAACTCCTTGGTAGCACCTGAGGTAGGTTAGTTGGCCGAAGCGTCCAGCTTCCAATTTGAAAGCCAAGCCCACAAAGGAATCCTTGCCATCGCGAGCTGGGTTCAAGACAATTTTCTCCGGCTCTTGTCCTTCTTTCTCTATGAAGCCCAGGTTCTCCACTTCCCCGGGATTCGGCAGGTAATCAAGTACTGCATCTAGCAGGGGCTGAACACCCTTGTTTTTCAGTGCTGTTCCCACCAAAACCGGTGTGAAGGTTCTATTGATGCAAGTTCTTCGCAAGGCAGCCTTAATATCGTTCTCAGTAAAGGGTTTTTCTTCCAGGAAAAGTTCGCCAAAGGATTCGTCTGCATTGGATAAGTGTTCGATGAGCTCTTGCCTTCTCTCCTGACTCTCCACTCGCATATCCTGTGGAATCTCGTCCAGCCTCAGGTTAATTCCATGTTCACCCTCGAAATATATGGCCCTTTCTCGCACCAAATCCACAATGCCTTTGCAATTGCTCTCCACGCCAATGGGCAGCTGAATGAAAGCAGCATTATGGTTCATTTTGGACCTCATTTGGGACAGAACCCGATAGGGATTCGAGCCCAGACGATCCAGTTTGTTGATGAAGGCCAGACAGGGCACATTATACCGCTTCATCTGCCGGTTGACTGTCAGCGTTTGACTCTGAACTCCGCCCACGGCGCACAAAACCAGAACGGCACCGTCCAAAACTCGAAGGGCGCGCTCCACTTCCACGGTGAAGTCCACGTGACCCGGGGTGTCGATGATATTGATATTGGTGTCCTTCCACAGGGTGTAAGTAGCTGCCGATTGAATGGTGATGCCACGCTGTCTCTCCAGTTCCATGCTGTCCATGGTGGCCCCCACATTGTCCTTGCCCCGCACTTCGTGCATTTCCGCAATCCTTCCGGTGTAGAAGAGAATTCGCTCCGTCAGAGTCGTCTTCCCACTGTCTATATGCGCCGAGATTCCAATGTTCCGGATCTTCTCGATGGGTTTGAGCTCCGAGAACTTGGCATGCGAACTGTAGCCGGCCTGGAAACATATGGTTTATCAATAAAGTACTAAATTTCTTACAACAATTACATAACAAGAAGATACATTTTCAGTTATTTCTGCACTTATAACTCACTCTGCCTAAGGTTTCCAATGCCCGCAGGCGCATAGCGTTGTTCCCGGTCAGCAAACGACTAATTAGCGACATCCTGGCCAGGTTTTAATTAATAAATACCGTTTTAAATAAAAAACACGCGCTCTCTCGTGTAAGCCCAACCAAACCAGTGTGACCGTAGCGCGACCGCTTTAATATACCATCTGTACAGAAAAAATACTAAACAAAATAGGTTGGTAACTATATAGCGCAGGGAAAAAAATCTTAAATATAATTTTGTAGCTACTAATATAGCTGGCAAGCTAGTTAAAGAAAAAGGCTTGGCTAAAAATAAAAGTTATATATATTATCTGGAAACGAAAATAAGCTAAAATAATTGAATAATATAACGCAGATAATCCCAAAGTATAGTTCAAATTTACTTGCTTATCTAATATAAAATAATATATATATTTAGTTAAAAAGTAAAAGTAATAAGTAATAAATTTCAGTCTATTGTGTTTAATCATTAAAATAATAATAAAATGTTCATTAAATATAATAACTTAATGGAATATTTTGTTATTCATTTTATAATAAACATAAGCCCCAAACTTAAAATTTACTCAATATCTATTTGTATAAGCTTTGCTAATATTTTTAAAAAATTGTTTCTAAGTTTAGAACTTTTTAATACTATCCTCTCTTAATTGCACCATATATAATTAAACCGTTCCCATTCAAAAAAAATTTTAATTTGTTTTATACATTTATTTCAACAAATTCCCTTAGTGTGGATTGCATAAGATTGGTTTTCGAGTTGTTGCTTGATATGTTGCCAAACAATTAATTTGTGCCAAATCGCACTATAGGATATATATACGCAAAATGGGACGGTAGGTGGTATTTATACAGATTATAGACACACATAATTGTTATACAGGTACACAGATATACGCTAAAACAGAGTTAAATCATTGACTCAAACGGATGTTTCTGTTGGTGTAAGATATCCACGCCACAATTGCTTCGACGTATTAAATTTTGGGTTCTGCAATAATGAAATTCGAAATTAATAACCGTGGTCTAGGGGAATTAGGACAAGAAATTATCTAGATTGGCTCATCTATTTTACGAACACATTTTATACAAAAGGGTTTATAGTATAGAAGATGCACATAGAGACATCAAACACGATGCTAATGGAGCTTAGATGGTTTTGGAAACAGAGTTTGAAGATGATCTAAATTTATACAAATTGTTTAATTTTTAACGTTATTTTAGAACTGACAAAAAAATTGATTTTTTTTTAAATTGATATATTTTTGTATCGCTTTTTTTTCAGTTCTTTTAAAATTACGGGAATTCCACAAACTCTTATTCGCAATATTTATGAATTGTATGGAAGACAGGCAGAACTCGATTAAGTGCGATGTACGAATGTTCAGATATATAGATTTTGGGAGCAGAAGGTGCCACACTCACAACTATGCACAAAATACACTGAAAACGAACGATGCATTTGCATACCAAAAGTAACGAAATGAAAGATACATTTTTGTTTTCGCAGTTTGCTTGTGGCTTATTAATGGTTCGCCACTTTTATTCAATATTTATAGTTTTCTATGTTACTTTCTTTTCTGTATATATTTTTTTGGGTGTGTCGAATAGGATGTGTGTTTCTTTGTGTAGAACTTAAAATATAATACAATTGTTTACAGCTTTGTCTTGGCTAGGCTAAATGATACACTCCTTAAACAACCCACCCCCAAGATATAACCATCAGATCACAGTTCGATAAATAAGCCCCATTCTAACACACAATTCGCTTTAGCTAACCAAGTCAAAGTGGAGAGTTGGAAAATTGGAGAAACATCGGCTCACCGATGGTTTTTTGTTCTTCTGTTCTTCGCCTCCTCGTTGGAATTGACTCTATAAAATTCGTTTCAAAAGTGTATATTTGGAATGTCTTTTTTGTTTTCTCTACGTCATATCATTGTTTTATCATATAAGTAATACTTGTATAACTTGTACCTGAGCCCCAAATCAAAGTTTTACCCCACTACTGGCACAGCTAAAAATCTTTACCAAAAAAACGTCCCCTGGGAGAACTACTACGGTGTATAGTAAATAGAGATTATGATACGTTTGTGAATGATTAACTAGAAATACATGGATGTGTTTGTGGGATTTTTGTGCTTTGATCGCTTTAAATCGATATCGTTTTCTGGATCATTAGACGGGTGTTATGTTGGCCGGATTGATCTGGCTGTTGGCCAAAGACGATCCTTCGAGTTTGGCAGCCTTGCAATTGCCGATCTGCTGTTGTTGCTGCTGCTGATGCTGCTGCTGCTGCTGGATTCCCGTGGGTTGCCCCGGACTGTTTGTCGGGGCTTCACAGTACTCATCCACCTCGTGCATCGGCGAGAGGCGTGGCGAGAGGGCGGCATTCGGGGAGGCACTGCAGAGAGGGGGAGGCATATGGGGAATGCGAAGACGAGCATGAATGATTTAATAGTCGATACACTCAAAATAATATTTTTTCGAGTTCGCCAACGTTTTGCTAAAGTTCGTTATATTTTCATTATATTCTTTCTCACTTGTATTAAAGGCGATTCCCCATGATAATAGAAAAATACGAGTGAATATTTTTTTTTAAAAAAGTCATTACCTGTTTCAGGTTGGAAAATAAATAAACTAAATAATCCCTATATAAATAATTTATAATTATTAATAATCCCCAGACAAATTCTGAATTATTGACTCAAATTTAGTTGGAATGTACACACAAATTCAACCAAAGCTCAAATTTCTTTATCGGTGGTGACACAGAGAATTCTTCAGTTGAGATATGTTTGTACATCATACGACTGTATATATGTATAGCTTTCTGTCAATGTCCTACACTGAGCTATATCACAAATCGTTAAGCATGGTTTCTCTTAATTAATTTATACGAGTTCTGCGTGAATCGGCCAATTCAAGGTAGGCGGTAGTAGGCGGACTAATAATACATTTTTATTTATCTTCAATTAACTTCAAATTTAAGGGCGAACTCTAGATCTATTGTTGAGCGTATGAAAGAAAAGATAAGTCGTTTATATACAATAGAGCGAGCTATAGTTCTAGCAGCTCATGAGGGGATTGTGTGTGATCTGATCTGATCCCTGGTTCTATACTGGACCCCGTGGGACATTCCATTGGGAGCACTTACTGGTTGCCATTGATCTGACGAACTTTGAGGGTGACCGGAATGATCAGTTGCTCCGAGATCCCGTTGCCATCCTTGTTGATCTGCTGCCAGACCGCGGTGCGATTAACAGCCTCCGGGGGAATGTTCACTGTAGGTCCATTGTTGCCGGCCTTGTTTCCCGATAGGGGAATATGAATGGTGGTGGGACCCGACTTATCGGCATTATAGTTCGATCCTGCACCAGACACCGGATGATGCTGATGGTGATTGTCCTTCAATATAAAATTGGCATAGTTTGCATAGTTTTTGGGAGCAAAAAACTCTCTCGGGAAGGAAGCAAAGAATGAGTAGAAAAAGGTATAGCATATCTGATCTAATCTTGCATAAGTGAAAGGCGAAGCAGAAAGAGCTCGCTAATAAAAGGGTGAGTGTCTAAATCTGTGAACTGGTGTCAAAGCCAATTAGGTGAAGTGTGTTTAATTTTTCGATTTATGCCGAATTGTTGTTTTATTTTTGTTTATTTTTAGTTTATTTTTGTGTTGCAATTTCGAATTTTGCCCATGACATTTGAACATCAATTTTCGCTACAATTACGTGTGCGTGTATGTCTCTGGTTAGTTACTGGAACTCTCGACCCGATGACTATAAAATAACATAACAGGTTCCATTTAATACATTTAGGTACTTGTTGTACAGTGTAAACGCTCGATTAATTAGGACTTAAGCTAGAATTTCATTTACATTTATAAATATCATGTTTGTATATATAGGGTAAGAGTAGTTTTAGAGTAGGTTCGGATAGATAAAACGTTTTTACACTACGAAAAAGCACATAATTTAATTTTTTTGCAGGTTTGGCATTTACAGGTGTTTTTATAAGCATAGAATCAAGAGGAGGTTTTCACATGTTTATCAAAAAATTATCGTATATATAAAAACAAAATGCAAAATTGCTGCATGCCATGATGGGGTAGGGGTAAAACATTTACAAAATACTGTTAAAGACATGATAAAAACGTATATAACAGAGAATAATGCATTTACATGGATATATATAACTATAGTAGTCGAATAAGATGTATCAAAACCGACAAAATGCAAATTAATCAAAACATTTCTAAATAATTGAGTTTATCGGTACAATCTATCGCAAATTGTTGGCCTTGTGCGGTGACTTGACAGCACTGCAAACGCAAATGAAATGGGCAGCACTGGTCCGTGGCTTATTTTTTGATTTCTGTTTTTGTTATTGCGTGGGCGTGGAAGTGTGCTTGTCTTAGGTTGTGCGTGTGCGTGTGTGGCGGTGTCAATGTCCTCTACTTTTTAAGCAGACTGCTCTGTGCCTCGAATTCCTTCTCATTTGCATTTGAGGTGGAGCAACTGATGAGGCCAGTACCAACGGCCTCGCCAGCGATTCGACTATCGGAGCCCGGCGGCTTGGTCACCACCCTGCCCCGTCTACTTTTTCCCCATTGGAAAACTCGCGCCAATAAGCCCACCTCAGCGTCCAGTTTATGCAGATCATCTGCCGCCGCCCTCTTCGTCATCTCCGGCATAATATCATCCAGGATCTTCAGCTCTCGACGGGTGAACACCAGATCCAGGGCCTTCCGTATACCGATCATTACCACCAGCATCAGGGGGAACAGAATGGAGGTTTGCGAGAAGGACTTGATCAGCCAGAGAATAATGAGACAGGCCAGCTGAATAATGGTGAACAGGTGGACGCGCTTAATGGGAACCTGTAATACAAATACAAAATTATAACAGGTATTAAAAATATCGAATAAAAAAAAAATAATGCGAAAAAATGTTTCTTTTTATATTAGTTCTTTAAATATATTAAAAAGTGTATTTAAATTCATTTCAAATACAACTAAACTTGCATTTCTTATATATGACTAATTAGCTAAGTCTTGCTGATGTCATAATTTTTTGTCAGTATGTGCTGATTTATACACTGACCGACAACTAGTTAGCATACTGTTTGTGAGATTCGATAAAAATAACTCAGAGCACTGGATTCGTATAATGGCCTCCAACCGTTTACCTAATTGAGCTAAACTGCTTTTAAATTTAAAATACATCCAGAGCTCGAGTCGTATTTGACATTTAAAAGAATAATTTTGTTTTTGTAATTGACTAATTTATAATATATTAAGAACAAGAAATACTATTTTATTGCCAGTGCAGACTTAAAAAAATTCAGATAATCAGTTCCCTTGTCCGCCGGAAGCAGTACAAATGTGTGACTTCACAGCTTCACAGAAACTGAAGGCATTTGATGGCATTTAAAGTCGCAACTCTTGAAAATAGTTCAGTTGTTTAGGTCCTACTGGGTAAACGTTCGTTATTGTGGATAAAATGCGAAAAATTATTTTAATGTGTATAATCGGCATGGCCCTATATAGAACCACTGTCGCAGGTTCAGTCGTGAGTTAAATGTTTCTTTTATAAAGTGCATGACATTCATGCATCTTTTTTTTCAAGGGTGAGCCCATTTCGGAATTTACTCTGCACTTGGAGCTAATAACTGAGATTCTGGAAAAAAGGTTCAGCCTATTTGCTGAAACTTTGCACGAGAGATTGACGAGCTTTGAAAACCGGCTGACACAATTGGAATGCTCAAAGAAATGTTCAGCTCCAAATGGAGGCTCCCCGTCTTTAGATAATGGATCCCGTGAAAGCGAAACAGGATATGAAGGCATGGAGTCGGAAGAAATTGAAAAAGAGGAAGTTTCAAAGAATGTACAGATTCCAAATGGAGAAGACACGATCCAATCTCGATTAGATGATATTGAAAATGACCTTATAAAACAGAAAGTAAACCAGGATAGAAATAAATCAACAGATGAAGCCGAAGACGAAGCGACTTCTTATATTGATTCCCTGATTGAAATATATAAAAAAATGTTAGATAAGGAAAAAGAAGCAGAACCCGGTACAAACTAAAAGTACTGGAAGATCTAGTAAACAGCTCGTGACTATTGACACTTCTTTGCTGGCTGAGCAATATATAACTTGGATGAAACTTCAAAACAAAATAAAAGAGGAACTGATTACTGATGAAGCAAGCACCACTGACAGCACCACTACTAATACTACTGATGATGCTGGAAAATAATTATGGAAGAATATACTACATATATAAATATTTAAAAGGCGATCGAAAAAAAACAATTGACTTCAACATACAACCACAAAAAGACTTTAGATAAAAACTACAAAAAAAAAAAAAAATTACAAATTACAAAATAATCGACATTTAAAGACAAAACTAAAATAAGTATATGAACAATTGAATAAGATCCTGAAAATTAATTAATTAATACAAATTAATACAAATGAAAATTGAATTTTAAAGTTACTCGAATATATATAACAAAATAAGGAGCTATCAACGCGACAGAAAAGTTGTTACTTAACATTTTATAAAATCTGTTTAAAACGCAATACACAAGAAATGTATATTGTTTAACTATAATACCTATTTGACAATAAATTTCATATATTTTTTTTAAAAAGGGTGTTTTTTAAATGATGTGACCTACCTGGCGCAGGAACATATAGTCCGGCTGGTACTTGGCCGGCATGAACATGATCAGTATGCGATCGAAGAACTGCAGACCCTTGAGCGAGGACACGCCCATATAAAGAAAGACGCCGAACAGGACCGGCATGGGAATGTTGCCGAGCAGCGGGGTCAGGAGCACAGAGCCGCCGATGGTCAGGAAGATCAGGATGTGTGTCACCCGCTGCTCGCGCACTCCCAGGAACTGTGGCTTCTCGCCAGGGGCCGAGCACTCCGATTCCAATTTCAGCGAGTTCACGTGGTTGATGCTCAGCACGGTGGCCGCGACGAACCTGGGATGGGATTATATATGCTATTAGGTTAGGATATTTACAAACATTTTATATCTTTTTTTCTCATAAAGGATGTGTAAAAAAAGCCGTAATTGAAATTAAGAAATACAACGGAGAACAAAGCAGTAAAGTTAAAATTGGAAGTCCCAAAATGCAAACCAAATATATACAAAATAAAATAAGTGGGAGATTCAAAACTAGGAAAATAAGTTTGGAACCCAAAATCTGGAAAACAAAATGTAAGGCAATTGAAAATAAGGAACAAATTTAAGAGATACAATATTAGGAAATATTTGCGCTTTTCCCCTTAAAATTAAAAAAAAAACGTTTTCGATTCCTTAAAACTGTCTTTTAACATTCTGTCACACTTTTTTTTTAGTTTTTAACAACATTAAACTGAAAATATTGATTGTTAGATAAAACTAGCTAAAAACTCACCAAGGCAGACCCATAATGCTGCAAATGGCAATCAGAATGGAGAGGATGAACAGGTCCAGATGGTAGCCACAGCCCTTCTTCAGTTTGTTCTCCTTGCGATTCACGATGACAGCGGTGATCTGTTGATCCATGAAGATCAGAATAGTGCCAAGCAGGGCGGGGAATACGGCGATGATTGGCGACCACCAGGGGTTCCTTTCGGAGAACGGCGGGATGAGCCAGCCTCTGGTGCTCAGCGTGGGCTTCAGCTCATTGGGCACCTCCAGCTTCGGGGTGGGAACTCCCAGGGAATAATCGAAGAAACTCATGGCGAATATCGCGATCAGCACGGAAAAGTCACTGATGTACTGCCGAACGATGGAGGGGAAGAAGAGGGCGTTCTTGAACTCCTTCAGCAGGGTGGAGATGATGAAGGTGCCAGCGCAGAGTACCACCGACATTAGGAAAACGTTCTCGGTGGGCGGTTTGCCACAATCTACGCCAACCAAAGTGCCATTGTAGGACTAAAAAAGTACGATTTATTTATTAAATTCAATGCGATTATAATTATGTAAAAATAATAGTGAGAAGGTTAGGCGCCACACACATTTTTGACTTTTAATTATATAATTTAACCCAACTGTCTTTACCTCACAATAATCCCAATTGTATTTGGCATAATCGATCACACTGGCATTGCTCCCGATTGGTGGTGTACAGATACAGTCGTATATCCCCTGATTGACAGGAAAATTCTTGCCGATGACCATCACATTCTCGATGGCCTTGTAGATAAAGATGAACGCGATCAGGGTGGCGAAATTCTCCTCGGTGAAGCGGGTGATGTAGCAAACGAGGGCACTGGCATCAATCGCGGTCAGGACGATGCAAATGCCGGCGACCCACATGCCGATCCAGAACCGGAAGGTCATATATTCCCAGCCCATCTTCAGACAGAACTCGTAGATAATTGACTCGAAGACCAGGACTGGACCGGTGGACCCGAGAATTGTCAGCGGCTGACCCGAAAAGAAGCCATAGCCCATGCCACAAACGAACCCGGACACCAGAGACTCCATCGCAGCCATGTGCTTGCCAGTGGCCTCGGCCAGCAGACCTCCGAAGGTGATGATCGGGGAGAGGCAGGCGAAGTACAGGAAGATCCAGGAGGCGACGCACTGCATGGACAGTGCGTCCTTGTAGTCGCTAATGTACCACGGTGCCTTCCTCTTGATGTCGTTGATGAGTCCTCCAAAGAGTCGACCCGTTCGGGAGAGCCCGTTCTCCTCCCGCAGGCGTGCCTCCTCCTCCTCCTCGTCCACCTCTTCCTTGGGCAACTCCGGCGGACGTTTACGCACCTCCTGCGAGGGAATGGCCGCCGGTGGCTCAATCCGAATGGTGGGATCCCACTCGCCGGGCGGCAATACGGTGACCGCGTCCAGGAACTCGTCCACCCCGGACAACAAATGGTCCCGCTTGCGTGCTCGGTAGGCCACCTCGTGGAAGATCTCGTCGGACATCAGCGTGGCCATCGCCCGGCCGATCTCGTGGAAGTTGCTCTGACTGCCAGGCGGACCAAGCAGGATAAATACAAATCTGTATGGTATTGGATTTTATAAATATCAGTTATTATTTTCGTAATTACTTATCATTAAAGATAATAATACTAACGAAATCAGATTTTAACAGGTAAAATAAACTTTTTAAAAATGTTTGTCTGTGAAATTTAGCATCTATATAAAAACCTTAATAAAGACTTCTCACTTATTAATCAACATTTGAAATAATAAAACTTTATCAAGAGCTATAAACTGATTAAAATACATCGCTTCTATTAGTTATATAAATTGATTTAACAAACAACTTCCTTTTAAGTAAGGAAACTAACCTTTTTTAGTTACCCAAATTAAAACCTTTATATTTTGTATACAATTTCAATTTATAAAGTTAGATATATAGTTTCTAAAGGAACTAAAACAAAATACTTTTCAATCAATAATAATAATAATATTTAAGCTTGTTCAATAGATTTAAAAAAACATTATATACATATTATTTTAACTCAAGTGATTAAAAGCATGAGATAGCACAATTTAAAACATTTAAATTTTGTATAGAATGTAAATTTAATTTATAAAATATTACTTTCTAAAGGAAAATAATTTTCAACCAAGAAAAAATTGATAGCCCAGACCGGTGTATTTTAAGAACATTTTTGAAGAAAATTGTAAGCCTTTAGTAAGTCTAAAAGTCCCTAAAAAGGAGTGCTTGAGATTAGAGTTAAGCCTACCTTGTGGGCACGGGCACCTCGGTGAGATCGCCCAGGACGACCGCCTGGCTCAACCGGATGAAGCAGGACAGGGTTCGCTCCAGGAAGTCCACCTCACCGACCAGGATGTTGCTGGCCTCCGCTCCCGGCGGAATCTTCCGCATGAAATGGGTGTTGCCCTTGTGCTGCTGCTCACTCAACTCGGTTCCACTTCCCGGGCGGGCCATCGATTGGTTACTCGGACTCTTGACCATGTCCTCTGTGATCGATGGCAGGTTTTGTGCGGGCCGCGAGTGTTTAGAATTGGATTTTTTCTCTGCATTAGTCGCGGATTTTCATTCGGGTAACGGGGTGCAGGTTTTTTTTGTGTCGGTTTTTTTTTTTTTTTTTATATATTTTATTGGATTACGTGCGTTGGTAGGTATTACAAGAATAATAATAACAACAACAACATGTAGGTCAACACGTTACAACGGAACAACATAAAAAACATACGAAAAAAGAAGTGCAAGAAAGATATATTGTATTAAAATCGGATTCGGCTAAGAGTGCTGGAATAGATTTCAAATAGAGTTCAGATACATATAATGAAGCATGCAAAAGGTATGGGAAAGTAGTTAGTTCTGAAAGTTTTTCAGGTGATAAGCGTGCAGATGTGTGTATGGATTGTTTTGTTCTACTTTTTCTCTGCAGAATCATTTCCTGCTTTTCCAATTCCGCTCGATACATAACCTTCATGCAAATTTCGTAACCTTCGTATAATCCTTTTTTTCAACCAATTTTTTATTTACAAAACGGCGAACTACAAAAATTTATTCTTTCAGGACCATTTAAACAATTAACAGACACGCAAAATCAAACGGTAAACGATAACGAAAACGGTCAATTCTTGACTTGGTTTTTAATAATAGTTTCTTGAAGTGGTAGTCTTTACCGAGCGCTCTGTTGCTAGTTTTTCCACTGGGCACCGTTAGAAAACGCCCCATTCCGCCGGCAGCGGTGCTTAGGGATTGATTTCCATTGGATCCGGGCGGTCCCGGTTCGCTGGCCGTTAGGGAAATTGGCGTTGTGGCCCCCAATAAATTGCCAGAGTGCTCTTCAACTGCAAAATGTTTGGGTGTTTTTGGTTTTTAAGGTTATCATTAGGTCGAGTGTATTCTGCACGATATCTAAGTATCTTGACCTGGTCTGGTTTCTCTATTACTGAACTCGCATAATTAAATAAACCTTATTATTTTCCTGGAAATTATCATTAAAAAGTTTCTCAAAGAAGTAATAGTTTTATTAAGGTCCTATTAAGAGATCCTGTTCTGAGTGATTTTTAAGCGATAAACCAAATAGTAAATGGTAAATATCAATTTCAGTCTTTATATAAAGGGTGTCTAAAGTTTCAGAAGGTAGAAGAACTCATGTGATTAGACAGGGTTTAATTTATTTGATAGAGAAAACTCAAAAATCATAATTAGAAAGGGGCTTTAAAGAAGTGGGACTTAGAATCGATTGAGTACTTAAAAAGTGAAGACGAGCTTGAGAGAATAAGAGAAGGATGGATTTTTATATTCTTTGTAAATTGGTTAAGTATATAGTTTAACTGTTAAATAGTGTATAAAGACAGCACAATAAGTTGGGATATATCATCATAGAAGGGGACTAACGAGCTCTTTATAAGGTTGTAGTTTGTAGTAGAGTAAATAGATTAATAAGTTCATGGAGTAGAGGAAATAGAAGTTTCAATCGCAAGAGAAATTCATTGAAAAACACAGCGTGCTCTTGAAAGGTACAGCAAAGTACAGTAAAAACCATTGATGGACTATTACTTGGCATTATTTGTCGTCCTTGATTTTGAGCCTGATTATGGGCCTGATGTTGGGGCGATGCCCCGGCATGGAACCAGGTGGTGACCCCGATGGCCCCCAGGTGCGTTGAGTTGTCAGCTTTTTGGGTGAACGAATAACGCGAGTTTATTTTTTTTATTCTTTAGCGGCTACCCCAAGTTTACTACCTTATGAATGTGAGTGATTAATGAGTGATCAGGACTGCTGGGTGGCAGCGGTGCTCTTCAGAAGGGTATTCTTATTTACGGAAGTGATTCAATAAGGATGTACATTTTCAGAGAGTTTTACAGTTTTCAGAGTTGAAGTTTAGGATTTTTTTAATAAATACGGTTGGGAATTCAAAATCTTACTGAACTGGGTTCTCTTTAAGGGATAATATTTCCCCATCCCCCATTTATTTCAACTTTAAGTAGCGTTTGGTTTTCATTGGCTTGTTTCTGGGTGCTTTTTGTTAGGTGCAAAGCAACTGAAAATTGTTCACGACTTTGGCTTTCAGCGTTACAGAGTTTGCTTAAGAGAGTTCTAAGGCTATACCTGTGGGAACAGCGAGATAGCAACCACGCTGATCCTTACTCGACACACAGAGCGGTGCCTGGTAATTTCCAGTCGGGTCCAGGCCAGCCGCTGAGCCATGCAGTGAGTGCAGTGGAGTGCTCTTGCCCAGGTCTGAGTTATTAGTATTAGTTCGGAGCAGATGAGAGTTTTAGACACTTGACAGTATGATCCTAAATGAACTGAGCTGAGTGATGGATGGCATCAAACTCGCCGATGGAATCATCACATCGTACGAAGGAGATGATCTGGGAAGAACCTTAGGATGGTCGTGATAGCCCCTATACTCACTTTTCGATGACGAGTGATTGCGCATATCGGCCAGCGATCGAATAATCGGCAGTCGCGTCTTTTTGGCATACTCGTGCTGATGGCGATGGCGTCGCAGGAGGGCGTCCTTGACCTTGTCCTTGACCCCCGGTGGCAGGGCTCCCGCGCTGACCATGTGATCGCAGACCAGATCGGCCATCACCTCCAGATTGTGGGCCTCCATGTCCAGCATTACACTGCCGTTGACCAGCAGGCGGCGCAGCTCGAAAAGCGAGTGTAGCGAGAGGGTGGCCACGTGGGGCTTCGACCACCGATTGCCACCCTCCTCCACATCCTCCTCGAATTTGATCCATCGCGCCGTCTCCTTCCACTCGATCTCGTCGCCCTCCTTCACCAACATCCCCATTTCGGAGAACAGGGGATGCGATACATGTGTGCCGTCGTCCACATCTTCGCCCAGTATGAACTGAACTCGCTGGGCCGGGGGAGTCACTATAATTTGAACAGTATAGTATGAGAAAAATATGGTCTTTCAAACGATAGACAAATTTGTTAACAATAAAAACAATAAACATACAAATTTCAGAGTTGAAGTTAGGGATTACCTATAGCTACAATAAATAAAAGCATTTTATATTTTTGTAATTATCATTAGGCAAACAAAAAAGTAAAGGCGGCTACAAAGACTATTAATTAAAAACCAAAACTTCCAATTATTTTATTATTAAATAATTTTTGATTTAATTTGAGTTATTTTAAAATATAACATTTTTTTTAAATTTTTCATTTGACTATATTCCTTTTTTGATTTTAATATCCAAACATTTAATTTAAATTTAAACCATATTAATTAATTACTAATTACTAATGTCACAAATGGACATAAATTAAAATCATTCCTTTATTTAAATTTATTCATAATTCAACAAATGTTTTTTAAGTTTACTAACAAATTTCTGCTCAATTTCCGTAAAGCATTTTCCTACTGTGCAAACCTTCATTAGCTTAATCAACATTTATGAGTTGGCAGCAACATCTTCCTGACATTGCCGCCCCTTCATAACATTCATAGTATCCTTGGACTCTGGTGAGTGCGTGCTAAAGTTAATTGGCGTAATAATTTGGCCCTGATCTGAGCTGGGAGTTTGCCACTGACCATTGCCCACCATGTGTCCTGTTTAGTCCTATTTAAGTTTGTCTGTTTTTTTTGTGGGGATTGCGTGATGTTTGTTTATACTACTGAGGACGTTTAGTGGATGTTTGTTTTGTTTTTTTTTTTCAAAAATAAAGTGAAAATTAAGTTAATCTCAGCTTTGGTTGGGCTTTTTAATGAATACAAATTTTAAAAGCCCATATTAATTGGGGTTTGAAAAAAAGGTATTTTACTTTAAGATTAAAAGTATTGTACTTTACGGTCTTTCCTGAAAAACGTATATTATGTGTAAATATTGAACAGGGATTAAACTAAAGATATTTTATCATCCAATCCTAAGTAAAAATTATAATAAATTGATCAAATGGCAAAACAGTGCATTACTGTAATGTTGTTGGATAGGTCGGGTTTTGTATGGAAAGTAGCTTGGATGGCGGGGTTGCGATAGGTTGGGCAAGTTTACATATGTAAGCGTTATGGTAATGACAGAGTTAAGCGGATGAATAACGATATAAATGGCTATTATGGAGTTAAAGCGAGTTTACGTTAGTTTATGATAGGTTGTATTATTATATGTGGTTAGTTTGCGGTAAAAAAACTCTTAAGCCTAGTAAATCTAAGGCCAAAATTGACTACATTCCTATACAAAAGGCTCTATTTTTGTCTTAAACCAATTGCATTATCCTAATTCAATGTCATCCATTAGCCTGCTGTTTTCGATTACAATCAAAACTTCTTGTTGACGGCAAACTGTAATCCAATCATCTGTCATTTTCATTATCCGTCTGATGAGTGGGATATCTCAAGAAGAGGGATGTAATTTGTGAAAATTTCTCCCGCTTTAGATTTCTGTAATTTACCACAATTCTCGGTCTGACCGAAACTGATTGGCCATATTAACTGGCATTTCATTTCATCTTGACCCCCCACAGATATCGCAATAATATCTGCAGAAGGAATAAAGCAGGAAACCTGGACGCACCTGGTCGCTCCACTTCCTGTTGCTTCTCGCTGATGTTGTCCTTGCCCGCACCACCGCCCACACTTCCGGATCCGCCGATGGAGCCACCTCCGCCCGTGGCCCCCGTGCCACCCCCTCCGGGGCCACTGTGGTGGTGCTTGCGGCGCCTCTGCGAGTGGCGTCGTCCTCCTGGTACATGGACGCCCACATAAACGGTGTGGGCCCGATGTCCTGCAGGAAAAATGCGGGTAAAAGTCAGATGGTGGCAGTTGGGGTGGGAGAGGTTGGGGAGCCGGGGAAAAGTCCAAATTGAGTGCGACATTGTTTATTATTTGCAATCGAGTTACATAATTCTATTAGCTTAGAACGCTCTGTTTTAGTTTTCTTTTATTTTTTACTATGGCTGCCATGGGTCGTGTTCGTAAAATCTGTAGATTCCATGCGGCTTGTTCTCCTATATGCCAATCAATTAAAATGTTATTTTGTTGACTGCTTCGTTTTATTATTGCTTTAAATACCGATTTTATGTTGTCATTACTTTAAATTTATACACGCTTTAAAAGTGGTTTTAAAAGTTCTTTACCTTTTCTTAAAGGTTCATTTTTGTACCTTTCCTTAATCGTAATTTATTAAAACAAATAAGGTAAAATTCAAATTATTTCACTGACAACCTAATGAAAATTATTAATAACAAAGAGAGCACTGCACTTTTTGCGTTACAAAAAATGCTTTCGTTTGAGATTTCTATCTATCTATATACTTAAATGTGATTTTAAACATTCTGGTAATCAAAATTTATAGCTTTTCCCTTTCGGTCTTCATTATTTTAAAACCTATTTTTGTTGTATATAATCAGCTGCTTATAGTTCAATTTAAATTGAGTTCATTGTGGCGATAAGCCTCATATATAACCCTTGCCTGCCATCAGTTTGCTTTTGTTTCTTTTCTATACAAGGCCACAAACAATTACGTATACGCAATGTTGAATCATCTACAAATCTAAATCAAACCCAATCTTAGATTCCGTTTTAATCAAATTCCCGGCTTTGTTTGTTGCCGTCTTAGTGACTACAAACAAATTTATGTTAATTACTATTTCCCTGAATTTGATGCCCGCTTTTGAGCAATTTACCAGTTACAATTTTAAAAGCCTTTGTTCAACTTGCGCTCAGTCAGTTGACTAATTGTGATATCATCTGCTATTTACTTGCCTCAGTAGTTTTTCATAAATTTAAATTAATTATACAGAGAAGATCTTCTAGCTGATTTTTTTTCACTTTTCGCTAAGTCACGCGATTAGGTCTTACAAACGTTAAACTAGTGGGCGTTGTGTTCGACGACAGCAAAAAACCTTTTTAAATGCACTTTACATTTTACAGTAGGTACTTTAAAATATACACGTAAATGTTATTTTCAATGTATTAAAAATACGTTAATTAAGCATGAGAATGGTATATTCAGTGAAGAAGCATATGAAAGACCGAAACCGGAAGAGATGTAAAATGATGCTTACGTAGTATTTGAATTATTTTTCTGAATGCATAGATTAATTAAATTGTAGAACAGTCATAATTTAAATTTCCAGTTATATCTAGTTTTTCTACTCTAAATCTGATTTCCATATAGAATTTGGTGTCCATCTTGGCATTAGTTTTGGTTGCGTGCTAAAAGTTGTCAACTTGCAATTAACACGACGCAAATTTCTTGTTTGTCCATCAACTTGTCACTTGGCTGGTTTTACAAGTCAGCTATTGATTTGGTATACGCGTGGACCCAATATTTTTCATTCAGGTTTTACTTATTAGTATTCAGTGAGCAATTAAAAAAAATAGTTTTAAAAGAAGAAATGAAGCTTAGCTCACCCTCGAAATCGTTCTCTGTAAATTGTTGCGTAAAATCCTCGCCGCCAGTGCGTGGATCCTTCGGCGCCTCATCATCGCCGCTGGAGGAGTTCATGGTCCAAGGTCTGCAATAAGATACAAAAAGCGAAACTGTAAATGTTTTTTCAAGATAATTAATTAGTGAAAGGGGTCAAGTAACACCCAATATTTTCTCCTACAAAATTGTATTGAATAACCCTTTGTAATGATGCCTTTTAGCAATACTTATCTTAAGTTTCCTATCGCTAATTGAGACCTCTGTTACGATTACCTCACCTAAATCAGCCTTAGTTGCACTGGCAAGCCTGCAAAATATTAACTCGGACCTGAGCTGCATTTGCAAATGCGTTGTCAATCGCCTAATTGAAATGCGCTTTTGGTATATAAACAGAAACAGAAACACCAACACAAACCGCTCATTTAAGTGAGCAATACGTACAAAAATCGACATAAATTAACGCAAAAAATGTGTGCTTTCGGTGGGGACGATAGTATACTCTTTTAAATAATTTAAACAAATATAATTAAAATATTAATTTTTTTAGAATCAAAAATATAAAACGTTTAGAGTATAAGTGACAAGATATGATTACAAGTAAAATTAAATTATGGTGGATTCACTTGCAAAAAAAAACAAATGATAACTCCTAATGTTTACACCATTAATTTAATATATTTTCTTGTATTGGTTTAACTGTGTAAAGTAGCTTAAATCCCTTTAACGAGTGTTAACGCAACAAAATGGTAATGATTTCAAACCGAGTGTCATTATCAAAGTTGCAGTGACTTTTAGTTAAATCATTCATAGAAAAATTATCACCAAGGCCCCGAGAATTTTTTGTTGCACTTCCCAGTTGCTAAATTATTCGACTGGGGATGGGTTTTCATTTCATGCAAATTTTAATTTTTATTGGCTTAAACAGTGAGTTGATTTCACTTTTAATGTATTTTCCGTTGCACTCCATTGCATCGTTTTTATAAATACACGTGCTTCAGTTTCTTAAGTGCCATATAAATAAGGTAACATTGCCAACTTTTATTATAATTGCTTTGTAATGGAATTGCACATAAATTTGTGCGACGTGCAAGATAACAAAGGGAAAATCTTAAAACCATAAAGTTTGAATGCTGATAAATTAACATTATTAATTTTTGTTTATTAGGAATTGATTTATAAACCCTCATTTATAAATGTATAAACTCTACATTTACAATTCACATTTTGGAAGCACAGAATATTATAAACCACAGGTTGTAAATTTGGGAATGCGGTGCAAATAAAATTAAAGATTTATAGACTTTGTTAGTTGTGGTTTATTTTAACGTTGTAAAATTACAGGGACAAGCCTAACAATTTTTGAAAATGAAATATGGATAAAACTATTTATAAAACGCTCAGAATGAATTGATATTACCTAAAATATATATTTTAAATATGTGTCATCCATCAAAACAAAGACATTTCTTTGTTGTTTACAAAAACCGGGTAATTTTAGTTATTTCCAAGATCAGGCAGTATTATGGAGGAAAAATTTGCATTGCATAAAGTTTATGTCTATATAGTCTATCATCTCATGTCTCTGTCGCTTAGGGTTGCCTTATTAGCCAGTGAAATGTATAATCTATATGGTGCTTGAATATATAGACAAGACAAGACTGACAGTCGGAAAGACGGACGCTCCAGGCTGTCTGCCAATCGCCGGTCTAAACTGGGTCTAGCCAGGGTTTACTAAATATAGTACTTCCCTCTACCGTCCCGTCTTCATGCATTTTGATTGCTTTATCAGCCCCTAAGTCACAACAACAAACATTTACTTGTGGTCCGATATTAACTTAATAGCCGATGTTGTATATTGTGTCAACAGGACAACCAACATTGCTAGACAATTTGCAGTTGGCTTTGTTTAATTAGACGGTCGTTCGGTGTTAAAGCAAAGAAACGAAGTGGGTTGGTTCCAGAGCCGAAAAAATTCTCTAAAAGTCGAATCTTATCTGGTTGATATAGCTGTTTGTTTTTTTCTTAACCAATTTAATGTTGAAGTACTAACGAAAGGGTAGATTTTTTTAGCAGAAGCTGTTTGTATTAAACTTAATAACTTAAATTAAATTAAAACTTAAATTATTTAAGTACTGATTTAATTTATTTCTAGGTTTAACTTCTTCTAAACCGAGATAATTTTTTAATCACAACTTTGCATTAAAATAAATTCAATATCTAAAAACTTAAACTTTGTTTGGCTTATTTATTCATATTTGTATGAGGAGTCTAAATATTCCTAATTGACTTCAAGATTTTTGTTTGATTTTGAATAATTAAATTAATTTCTAGATTTTAATAAATTTCTAGATTTTAAATAAATTTGTTTAACATTTTAAAAATATATGCTTAAACTGGTTAGGGTATTGCAGCTTTTAATCTTTCCCTCCTTTTTTCCGGTTGCCCTTGTGCATGGATGATAAACCCACAACAATAACAGTTTTCAGAGCTGAATCGAAACGCATGTGATAAGCCTTGCTTAAAAGTGCGACATAAGTTTTGAGCCCTGCAATCTTTTGAGCTGATTTTTCCGTGACACTTTCCAGTAATCTCATTGATGATGAATCACTCACTGGCTACTTACAATTCTATGTACTCATTATTTTGGGCCATCACCTTATCGCCGAGAATAGCGATCGAAAAACTGGAGCTTTTTTTTTCCTGTTTGTTCACTATTTTCGCACTCGCACCTCGCGATTATCAACCGAAAAGCGAAATGTGCGATAGCCCCCGAATATTGGGACACAATAAAAAGCGAACGAGGTGGTGTTCCGTTTTATTATTTGATTTTAATCTGCTCGGATCTCGGATTCGTTAGAGTCTTTTATTAGTTCGATATTTTCAAACGCAGCCCGACGACTCGACTGCGAGTCCCGGCGATTGCAGACTAACTAACTTTGCCGATCTTTAAACTGAAGCAGCTGCGCTCGCTTAACCCTCTGCTGCCGATTCTGCCGGCGTCGCTGTCGACAAAATCAAAAAAAAAACAAAAAACAAAAACACTGAGAGAGATAGAGAGGCAGTGGTTGAGCAGGTGGGAGAACCTTACAAAATGTGTTTTTAAATGCCAATTTTGCCTACTTTACTTTACCGATAGTCTAGCCATTGGGCTTTCTTATCGACGAGGTCCGTTATCAAGGGAGTAGGCAAAAGCAAAAAAATAATTGTTTACTCAACCGAAAGTGCATTTTAATGGTCCGTTACAAGATCCGGCGATAGTATTTATATTCACAAATCCGGTTAGAACCGCTGGCCACCAAAGCCATATATTAGATCGCGGTGTTTTGGCAGGCGTTTCACCGGCAATAACTGAACTCAACAAGTGTTTTCTTTGCTGTTTGGTAAATATTTCTGAATTTTTTTGTGGAGGTGCCCAGCTTTTGTTTTGTCACCTAATGAATATCCACAAAAATTTTTTAACGACTCTCCATGTGTGCGTGAGCTATGGTATGTATAATTTATTATGTGTATAATTATTTTCTGTTTGGTTTTCGCTTTCCTCGATGACGAAAATGAGCAACAACAAAAATATATGATATTTGATGGAGTCCTTGAAAAAAAAAACGAATGTGGGTCATTGGGTGTCAAACAAAACAACAAATTTTTCATTGTAAGCAAATAGTAGGAAGTAATTCCACAACGATTTTTTTGAAATGCAGTCGGGCCACTTTTAAACACATTTTAATAATGTATTAAGGTAGGAAAATATTTTTTATTTTTAAACTCAGCTTGGCGTACTTTGTATATTTTTAACCATAATTATAGTATTGGAATAGTATTAAAATATTGACTTTGTTCGAAAGCTTTTAATGAACTTATAATATTTTAAAATGTTACTATTAATTAATTAATTTTTTATAAACTTGCAATGCTTAGCAGAAAATATATTTCTATCTTACTTACAGAAATTGAAATAAAATAATTTAGGCATTTTTATTAAAAGTTTTTGAAGGAGTTTGTTAAAAAAATGTTTGTTTTGCCTTGAAACACAAACACAACACACCTCCCTGTTTAACTTCTCAAAAATTCAGAATTAGGTATTCAAATTTATACAGTGACTGATCAAACTAAACTGTTTTTGACAAAGCACGAAATCAAAACAAATCCCCCAAAATACTGAGAAAATAACCAAATGATATTAAGACGTCTTGCGTGCCAGTAAAACTAGAAATTATTTTAATTCAATTTGCATTGACTTGTTGTGGATTCGGCGCTGTTGTTGTTGTTGTTGACATGTTTGTTGGTAGTGGAATGGAAATGTGGTAACAACATCAACTGCGACTGCAAGGCGAATCGTACCGGTTAGAACCGGTAGGAAGCAATCGGTTCAGGTTCAGGTTTCTCCGACTGCCAAGGCAGAATGAGATGGGGCGATACTGGGAGAGAGATGTCTCAGATAAAGGGGATTTTTTTAATATTATTTTTGCTTAAATTTGATATAATCTTCTGTGAATCAGCCACCATCGACTGTCAAAACAAGTGGCGCAAAAAACAAAATACATCCCGAATAATTATTTTGTTTTTTGTTTGTCCGATTGTTAGGATGTGAATGCGATTTCTGCCGAATTTAGTTGACTTAAACTGAGTCTGGCCGATTCGATTCGGATTTCATTGTTAATAAATCTATTTTCCAACCTTAACCATAATTAATAACAATTAGCGTGATAACTCAACCTAACTTTGAATGAATCAAGAATTAGGGAAGGCTTTTCGAGTTAACGTCAGTTTCATTGACAAGGCCAAAAATCAGATAAACCAACTGTAATCAGCTTTGATTCAGATCGGAAATCTTCATAACAAAATCACGATTTCTTTGATCTAGGTTATTTTGACGTCAATTTACGGAACACGTTTCCATCTTATCTTCTTTTGTGGCTGCACTTGAAAAAAACCGAATTAATCATCGTCAGTGGAACGTCATGGGCAAGATTTAGTCTATTTTTCAGGGTTTATTCTTATCGCAAAACACTCGAACCACCCTGACAACTAAATTGTTTAATAAACGTAACTCTTGTTGATAACTTCGATTCTTATCGACGATGAAAGCCAGCCAACGCGTCAGTTTAACCACTTCAAAACCCACTTGATATGTGCTCGGTTCCAGTTTTAATTGGCAAAACATCTTATCGTCAAGTCAAGATTCTTGTCCTGTACAGAAATATACGGTCGAGTCTTATTTACTTGATGGGTTTATGATCAGACGAAATTTTGTTGACACCTTTCCGCCAAGATTTTTATGATCACTCAAATATGTTTTTAAATATCGTTTTCTTGAAGACAATTTGGTTTTAGCACGTCTAGTTTGTTGGTATATTTATTATTACTGTTAGCTTTTTCCATTAGTCAATTTTTTAGCGGCCTAATAACTTTGAATTCATAAAAGTTAAGGAATATTGTGTTGCCGTAGGCAATTCATGAATATAAGATATTAATTAAGAGCCGCTTGAATGAAAATATGTACTTGAATATACATATTATACCAATCGTAGTGGATACATTTGCTTTGTCCACAAAATGTACATGAAAACTAAACAAACAAAAACAATGTAAGCATATTTGAATTGAATAATTTATTATTCCAGCCATGATTCCTTCTTAATCCTGCCCAAATCCCTTATTTTTTTTCCTGGAATTTCAATGCCTTTTGCCTAAAACATTTTTCCGTCTTTCACGTTTCCGACTTCACTCACCCTTGACCTTCAATGAGCTCATTCTCTAACCCAAAAAAAAAACCCACCAACAAATCAAGGTCAAATGAGTTATAAATTTCTTGTGGCATAAATATCTCACAGTTCACATTTGGCTTTAGCCATAGCTACTATTCCTTTAAGTGTCATATCATATTTTACTACCCATCTAATTGGAGCAAAGAATGGGGTTCTCAGATGACCATGGTTCATGTGAAATGCTTCGCCTTTAGTGACTTTTTCGTCTGATGTCATTCTTGGCCATTTGATTCCGTTTTTATTGTCTTCCATGGACATGGAAGTGTGGAAAAAGATGACTGTAAAGTGAGATATTGCAGTCAGCTATAAAGATATTACACAGGAAAAAAAGGTTATGCGAGATTTAAAGGTCTGAAAAGATAAGTATTTAAATAAGAAATGTTTAAAAATACTGTGTGTTTTATAACAGCTAATAGAAGCTTACAAAATTAAATATACATATATAAGCAATTTTTACAAAATAATTTACAGCTGTGGTTGAGAATGTGTTTTTTTTATATATTTCGGTAATGAATGAAACTGGTTTTTAAAATAAAAACTGTGTAAATAACTGAAGCTATTATTGAAGAATGGCTTCGAGGAAAATTCACAATTTGAAATGAACCCAATGCCTTATACACTTTTCTCTCTCTGTTGAACAAAATTGTTACACACAAACACGAGTTGTGATATTTGCCAAAGACATTTGCAATTAGTCGGGAAAATGTTAAATGCTGCAAAGAGGCATAACAAAAAAGGGGCGGGGCAAAGGTGTGATTTGGGACCAGTGGCAACATGGCGTGTGCCATTTTGAGAGACATTCGCTGCATGCGGAAGTGACATACATAAAACGAGGAGGAGGGGTTGGGTGGTAAAAAAAAAGGGTTCAGAGGGTATGGGAAATTGGGACTGCGGAAAATGGGATCAATGTCCCCCAATGAAGCGAGAACGAGGCAAGCAAAACAGAGAATCCTGAGCGGAAAATGTCAGAGAGACATATGCGGTTTTAGAGAACCCAAGAGAGTCGCAACTCTCCACATTCTCTTCCCGATTCTCCACTTCTCTTTGTTATTTGTTGTATGTATATTGTTTGCTTATCGAACGCCTCCCTCGGTTATCACAACAGACAAAGGAAATACACAAGCACCACAAACATAAAGACACAATGGGATGGGAGTGGTAGTATCTCCTGCCCCCTATTCCCTACCCCTTAAATCCCTGTTCCACCCCCACTCATTGCACTTGACATGTTGTTGACCCAGTCTCTAGAAAAAGACAGACAAGACATCATCAACAACAAACCGCAACAAACAGAATAGAAAGTATATACTTCACTCAGATACCAGAGTTCCTCAGCCCTTGCTGTCTGATTTTTGGCAAGTTAAATGTTATTTTCATGATAATATAACCAAAACAAACATAATGGAGAAATGGAAAGTCCAAATGGCATCAAAAGAAATTGGTTTTTATGTTAGGACAGGCATTGATTAACAGAAATTGTTTAAAGTAATGTAATCTGTAGAGCAATTCGCAGCTTTTTGCCTCAGAGAAAAAAAATAGTTCTTTCAGGCAAAGCACCTTGAAATTAAAAACTAATTTGACTCTTATTTTACCCATACAACAAATAAGTAGATATCAGTCTTCATAGTATCTTTACACAATTCAAACACAACTTGCAAACTCCATTTAGCGATTAGATATTTAGATAGTAGATTCTATCTATAGCTCCGAGATGTGCGTGTGTGGAGATTATATTCGGAATTTAAATTGCTTGTGGGCTGGAAATGAGAAGCGGCAGTACCGTCCTCTATTGTCACTTAATTGGGGGCAGTAATACTGTCTTTAAGTTGATTTTCCTAGCGATTACAATCTTTACAGATCTTTATTGGGGCTTGTATTGTGATTTTGTTTGTGATATCTATATCTAAATTTTATAGCACGAAGTCTATAAATAACAAATAGCAACGTTCTGCTTAACATAAGTGGACGGCTTTCAAATTTTGATTGAATATGCATTTTATGCTAAATATTTTGTAAAATAAATGTATTATTTTTGAGTTGAAAATAAATAAAAACAAAAATAATTATTTTGTTGGGTCATACAAAATAGTCAATTTATTATATAATTCAAGAATAACTATTCGTCTTTTATCAAACTGTATTAATTTGGTTGCTTTTAATACATCCTAGCAA